TTTGTTTAAAATGAAAACTCATGGGTATAATCGTTTATTAAATATATTTTGAGCAAGTATTTTATAAGTACTACTACAAAGATCTTATGTCTTGAAGGACTTAAACAATCATGGACCTCTGAATTGTTACTTTAGTGGCCCTCTGACAGTCCTATGTCTTGGGAGATTTAAACAACTATTAGCCTCTGAATTTACTTTAGTGACCCTCTGACGGTCTTATGTCTTGAGAGACTTAAATAATCATGGGCCTCTGATTAGTCACTTTGTGAGTGTGTCATGGATCCATTGACTCACTATTCTGTTTCGTTCTGTTTTGTACCGTGGTTACGGTTATTTTGCTATAATCCTACATTTTGTTTTTGTTATTTAAATGATTTACTCGAATCAAACTATTCTCTGTTTGGCTTAAATAATTATTCATAGTGATTCTCGTTTGTTTGGGGTTATAGGAAGGAAATTGAGACTACTAATACCTTATTTGTTTTGAGAGATGACCTTGGGACTACTAATACCTTGATATTAATAATACCCTTGGAAGGGAGATTCATAGTGAGAAGGTAGAGATGGTATTAGAAAAATAGTGAAGAGATTAGAAATTTTTTTATTTTTTTTATTTTTTATATATTGGGAATTTTTTTTTAAATATTAATCTTTCATTTTTGTATTTTTTTATTTGTTTTATTATTTTATATAAAAATAATTTAACAATTTTTCACTATTAATCCCTTCACTATTAATCCCCTCACTAACAATCCCCTCACTATTAATCACCTCATTATCAATCCCCTCCATTCTATCTCTGAAAACAAACGAGGCCTTATACCTTCAGTATAATATTTCTCATTTTATCATGTGCTTATAGCTGTAATTCCTTTTTGGGGTGATAGAATGTAAAGAACTGTGGTAATCTTGTGTAATAGAACTAGCACAAGACTTAATGTAGACTTTTCTTGTATTTTGTTTTAATAATTGTCTGATCAACAATAAAATAAATAAAAGTCTCGAGAAATGTTTTTTTTTTTTTTCAAAAAAATTATCAAGTATTTCGATTATTTATTTACCTATTTAATTTCCTTGGGTCGGAATAGAACCTGTTCCACTCCCATCGCCCACCGATTTATCTCGCTTAAATCTCACCCCCGAGGGTGCGAATTTGACCCGTGACCATACCTAAACCCGAGTCTTAAAGTGGAATGCAGTTGGCCATGATTTTTATTTGCTTGGGTTCATCCAAAATAAATATTGGTGAATATAAATAATAAAAAAATACTAAAATAATGAGGACAAAATTCATCTATCTCTTTATAATTTGGCTTCGGTACAATTCAGTGTGTTTGGTTTGATTTTTTTGAATTAAGTTTTTTGAAATTTAAATTTTTTGATTTTCATTTTTTTTTATTTTTAGTGAATATTTTAAAAATTTTAATTTTTTTTTTATTTTTTTAGATGCATCTTATTTAGATGTATCTAAAAAGTAAAAAAATTGTGAAAAAATATTTTAAAAAATTAATAAATACATAAAAATATAAAAATATATACTAAATTCTTGTATTTTTTTTTGTATTTTTGGTATTTAGTGAATTTTTAAAAGATTTTTTTTACAATTTTATTATTTTTTAGGTATATTTATATTTGGTGTGTCTAAAAAATAAAAAAATTTCCTAAAATATTAAAAAAATTCAGTAAAAATAAAAAAACACCAAAAATAAAAAAGTAAAATTTTCTGAAAAATATTTTTTGAAAAATAGAAACAAACAATTACTTCTTGTTATTCAAATAGTCATATAAAAAAAAATAATTAAAATTATCACATTATTATTTCTGTTTCTTTTATATTTTTTTAAACAACAATGATTCATCCCACTAAAAACATCACCACTAATAGCACTAATGCATTAAAAAAGTAAAAAAAAAAAAAAACACAACTCCAAGACCAAAATTTTCTGAAAAATATTTTTTGAAAAATAGAAACAAACAATTACTTCTTGTTATTCAAATAGTCATATAAAAAAAATAATTAAAATTATCACATTATTATTTCTGTTTCTTTTATATTTTTTTAAATTAAAAGATTAACTAAAGTAAATAATTCCTAAAGGAGCCCATAATTTTAGACTAAAATAAGAAGGATGTGACCACTGAGGTGTAATTATTCTTGTGTCACATCATCATATCTTTTTTTTTAATATATATTTTTAAGTTGAAGTCAACTAAAGTAAATAATTCTTAAAGGAGCCCACAATTTTAGACTAAAATGAGAAGGATGTGACCACTGAGATATAATTACCCCTTATTTAATGTTGGAAAAATGGAGATAAACCATGACTATTGATTAATCAGGAAATTTCAATTGATGTGCAATAAATTGTTGATAAAGTAATAGTTTTACCAAGAGCATTCAACAACAAATTATTCAATTATTCAACAACAAATTATTCAATTATTCAATTATAAGATTATACATCTATTTCATAGTTCTCCTACATATGGTGTTGTTTGGGAGATTATATGAGCTGTTTTTAGTTATTTTGATTGAAGTTGTATTAGATTGTTTGACATAATTTATGCTTATTACTTAATAGGCAAATACAGTTTAAGCCTCTGTTTGGCAAGATGGTTTTCAGGTTTTTTTGGCTATTTTAGCCACAAAAAACAAAATAGGCTATTTTAGCCATAACAAACAAAACATCACATCCAACCTATAATCATTACATTCTTCTCTCACAAAAAAAATCAAAAAAGTCAAAAAGTCAAAAAGCCCTTCCCAAACCAAGCTTTTTAGCCCAGGCTAAAATAGCCAAAAAAGTCAAAAAGCCAAAAAGCCAACCTACTTCCCAAACCAAGCCTAAATAAATTTAAGTTGTGAAATGGTTGTTTTTAATTTTTAATTTTTTATTCAAATTTTAAAAAAAGAAAATTTTAATTTTTTATCATTAACTATTCTATATTACAATAATGGGCGAATTACATTAACATTCCCTCTAGTTTGGGACTTGTATCACTTTAGTCCCTGACTTTTCAATTATGACACATTTGACCCTAAATTTTGAATCTTGTTCCAAATAAGGACAATTGAAGATATTATTGCTTAATTTCAAGAGTAAAGTCGTCAATTTGATAATGCCATGCCCCAAAATTCGAGACTGAAAAGGGGATGTACAAAATACAACTCAAACAGGATAGAGAATCAAAATATTTTAATATACACATATAAGTAGAGTTATAACATAGATAATTCATTTGTGTCCCGCTATAGGACGACGAAACATTGTAAAACCAAAAGACAAAAGGAAAAAAAAATTACTAGTCAAAATCTTCAAGTGAACCACGGCTCCTACACTACATCTTGATTGTCTTCGGGATAACCTTCACCATCGTAAATTGCTTCCTCACCTAACATGACACGCCATGAGCTTGGAATGTCCAATAAAAACACACACATCTCCCCATATCTTCTATCAACCAATCAACCATATACAGAACAAATCAGGTAACACATACAATCTTACAATAAGGATTCCACCAAAATATTTTTTTATAAAACTTATGTACATATTCAAATAAATAATAATATTCAATTCAAATAAATAATAAACAATAAATGAAATAACAACAAAAACAAAAATAGAAATAAAAATCAAATTTATGAATTAATTTATACACTAGGAGGTAAATATATAAAAACCAAGTTTTAGGGTATTTTTAATTATAAAGCGGTGTTCTAGGATTTAATTATATAATATACATGAAAATTATTCTTTATTGGGTCATTTTGCACACTTTTACGAAACTAGGGGCTAAAATGTTATTACGCTAAGGCTCAAGGTTTCACGTGTAATTACCAAAAATTAGGATCTTTACAGATAAAATGTAAACTAATTTGAAAAAAATAAATGTCGAAAAAATAATTTTGAATTTTTTAAAATTATTTCTACCCACCAAAGATAAAATTATGTAAAATTGATAAATCTTTTACGCATTTATTTATTTTATCAAATTAATTTTTATTATGTGTTTAGATGATGATCATATAATGTGTGGTTGTTAGGCTTTTAATGTGTAATCAATATATTTAATATATGAAATATTTTTAGTTTTGGATTGTTTAATTTAATAGATTAATTGAATAATTATATTAAAATTGTCGCCATATTTGAGTTTTGAAAAAAAAATATAAATTAATTTAATGAAAATAAAAATAATCATCCATTACATGATCATCATCCAAACACATAATAAAAATTAATTTAGTAAAAAAAATAAATGTATAAAAGATTTATCAATTTTACATAATTTTATCTTTGGTGGATAGAAATAATTTTCAAAAATTCAAAAATATTTTTTCGATATTTATTTTGACAAATTAGTTTATATTTTATCAAATTGACGACTCTATCTTGAAAATTGAGTAATGGTATCTTCAATTGTCTTTATTTAGAACAAGATTCAAAATTCAAGATTAAATGTGTTACAATTTAAAAGTCAAAAATTAAAATAACACAAATCCCAAATTATAACGATCCTTAGTGTAATTTGCCCTACAATAATCATCTCAAAGGTCATATCAAAGCCCAATAATAATAGATATTAGATTACAATAATATAGTTGAATTAGAACCAACGTTCTTTTGAGTAAAATTTTGGGTGCTTATAATTACTTGATTGGTATAAAAAAAAAAAAATACGAGGGAAATGAAAATCTTTATTATATTTTTATGGGTAATGAGGAAATCCAGGACTCAAATGGCTAGAACAGTCATCTATATGGCACAAGATTTCTAAAATAATGTTCATATTATTTTACGTTGTGTTTGATTCATGGATTTTAATAAAAATTTAAAAATAAATATAAAAAAAAGGACAGAAATGACCAGTGGAATATGAATAAACACCTTTTTTGTTATCCTTCCTAAATCTCATTCTAAATTTATGAACCAAACCAAAAGTCTTAATTTTCATGGCAACTATCTAACCTACTAAGCACTATAAAGAGCAAAACTTGTATACTCTTATTATTGCACAAAACAAGAAAACAACGAAAGATGAAGACTCCAACCACCTTGTTGCCTTCTCTTGTTTTTGTTCTTCTTTGTTCAATTTCATGGGCTGATACTCATGAAGATTTTCTCCAATGTCTTTCCCTTCACTCTCCAAACACAACCTCAATCTCAAAACTAATTTACACTCCAAACAACTCTTCATATTTATCTATCTTGCAATTCTCAATACAAAATTTGAGATTCACAGAGCCATCAACACCAAAACCTCTAGTCATTATCACACCATTGCATGAATCGCAAATCCAAGCAACTATCTATTGTTCCAAAAATCATGGAATGCAAATTAGGGTTAGAAGTGGTGGCCATGACTATGAGGGTCTTTCTTATGTTTCCGAGGTCCCTTTTGTCATTGTTGATCTTAGAAACCTCCGGTCCATCACTATCAATGCTGAAAACAACACTGCTTGGGTTGAATCTGGCGCGCATATTGGGGAACTTTATTATAGAATTGCTGAGAAAAGTAAAACCCTAGCTTTTCCTGCCAGTGTTTGCCCTACTGTTGGGGTTGGGGGACACTTTAGTGGGGGAGGGTATGGCGCGTTGTTGCGAAAGTATGGCCTTGCTGCTGATAATGTCATCGATGCTCGCATTATCGATGTTAATGGCAACATTCTTGACAGAAAATCCATGGGTGAAGACCTTTTTTGGGCTATTAGAGGAGGTGGAGGGGCTAGTTTTGGAGTCATTCTATCATGGAAAGTAAAGTTGGTGGTTGTTCCATCAACTGTCACTGTTTTCACACTTGACAGGACTTTAGAGCAAAATGCAACCAATCTTGTTCATAAGTGGCAATACATTGCCCACAAGTTCCCTCATGAATTATTCATTAGAGTCTTCGTAAAGGGAGTGAATTCAGGCCAAGATGGGAAGAAAAAAACAATCCAGGCTACATTCCAGTCTTTGTACCTTGGTGGAGTTGACAAGCTCATCCCATTGATGCAAGAAAGCTTCCCTGAGTTGGGATTGACAAAACAAGACTGCACTGAAATGAGCTGGATCAAATCGATCCTTTATTTCCATGGTTTTACCAATAGAGAACCCCTTGAAATCTTGTTGAATAGGACTCAAACATCTGTGTCATACTTCAAAGCAAAATCAGACTATGTGAAGGAGCCCATTCTAGTGACCAGGTGGGAGAAGATTTGGAAAAACTTTTATGAAGAAGAGGCAGAGACAGCTCAGATGATCTTTAGCCCATGTGGTGGAAAAATGGATGAGATTTCAGAGTCTTCAATTCCTTTCCCACATAGGGTTGGGAATATTTACAAAATCCAACACTTGGTGTCTTGGCAAGAAGAGGGAGAAGAAACTTCCAGAAGGCATATAAATTGGATTAGAAGGCATTATAGTTACATGGCTCCCTATGTTTCAAAGTTTCCAAGAGCTGCATATATGAACTATAGAGATCTTGATGTGGGAGTGAACAACAAATTGGGAAACACAAGCTATGCACAAGCAAGCATTTGGGGCTCCAAATATTTCAACAACAATTTCGATAGATTGGTGCAAGTCAAGAGCAAGGTTGATCCTAGCAATTTCTTCAGGAATGAACAAAGCATTCCATCTCTTCCTTTCATGGAGGAAGAAGGGTGATTAGGGAACCTTGGGCAAAGGAAGTATAATTCGCATTTATTATGTCGCCCAAAGTAATTACAAATCAGAAAAAGTATTCGGAAGAATGAACAAAAAATGAAGTATGTAAATTAGACTTATAATAGACTCCATATATAGTTTGTGACTACTGTTGGAATTACTTTTTTAGATGGATCCAGTGTTCTCTTTTCCAATAAACTTTGTGGTTTTTGTATGATTAGAGAGTAGTCATGTCCAATAAAGTTTACTTGTTTGAATTGCATTTATAGAATAAGAAGTGTAATATGATTTCATTTGTTTAGAATAATATGATTTCCTTTATAAGTATGTATTCCAACAAGAACTTGTCATTTACCTTCAACTTGAAATTTTGTTGTGTTTGGATGTTGGATTGGAGATATGATTTGCAGAAGAAAAGAAGGAAAAAGGAAGAAAAAAGTGACAAAATTTGAAATTAAAATTTGTCACTTTTTCCTTTTTATTTCATTTTCCTCAACAAATCCCTATTTAAATTTGAGACCTAATCACATTAATAATGGAGAGAGCCAACCGTCACCAAATTTGGCCTAATTTTTGTGGTAGCCGTTGGACTTTCAGGGGTTGTATGCAATTTTGGTGGAGGTGGCGGTTTGTCTTGGTCTGCGTTGAAAGTTTTGGGTTATTTCTTGCGGCGATTATTGGGTCTGGTAACTATTCACTTTCTAATTATTGTTAAATTTTAATTTTCTAATTAGATATGATGCTTCTTATATTTATAATTAATAATTTATCCCTTTTCACTACAAAAATTAAGATTTTAGGAGACTAAAATATAAGGACAAAATTATTTTTTGGATGCCAAATATTTTTGTTGCGAAAATGGTCGTTATTATATTTTTAACAACGAAAATTAGACATTAGTGATGAATTATTATCCTTTTGGGACTAAATTTTTTGTCTCAAAAAATAAATTATTTTGAGACCAAATTATTTTATTCCTAAAAGTCTATTTATTAGTGACATTTTCAAAATTTTGTCGCTAAAAGTCTTATTTTCTAGTTTCGGGATGACCTTTTAACGACTATCATCATGACGATAGAAATTGGCCTATAAATATCTTTTAGAACAAAATTTTCACTTTTACAGACCAAAACATTTAGTCTCTAAAACTCTTATATGTTGCAGTGTATTGATTGAAAAAAGAAAAAAAGAAAAAAAAAGAGTTAATTATATTTTACCTTCTTGTAATTTAGGCCTCGTTTGACAAGTGTCCCTTATAGCTAAGAAGTCAAAAAGCTACTAAAAAAATCAAAAAGCCAAACAACCCATATCAAAAGGTCAAAGATTCCCTTTTCTCTTTACTTTTTATACATCTTTTTGTAAAAAGTCAAAAAGTCATCTCAAACATATTAGTTTTTTATACATCATATTTTAGCTAAAAAGTCAACAAATTACTAAAAAAGTCTGTTCCCAAACGAGGCCTTAGTTGAAAAACACAGAACTTCCTCATAATTTAGAAATATACATTTAACCCTTTTATTGTTTGGAGTAAATTGTAAAGTAATGGATTCCGTCCACTTGTTAACTTAAACGCGCGATGCAGATATTGGCCTCAAATTAGATTGATAAAATGACATTTTTATCCCTTTTTTTTTCCTGCCGCCTTTCATTGCTGTACAGCAGTAGTCAACCCACTCCATCATTTCCCTATATTTTTTCTTGCCATTGCTCTACCGGCAGTGGGGATGCTGTGCGGTAATTTGGGCCCATTTCGGGGCCTATTTTAATAATTTGAACCGTTTATATTTTAGAATACGTCAAGTAGAACATACCTATAAAAAATCAAGTTAATCGGATATCGTATACCCATTCATCCACTCATATTTGTATCTACAAAAATAAATACAAATGTATTTTAACTTGATTAAAATGAATACAAATGTGAGTGGTGAATGGGTGAATGATATTTGATTAACTTGATTTTTTCTACTTAACGTATTCTAAAATGTGAATGGCTCGGATTATCAAAATAGACCTGAAATGGGCCCAAATCGCCGCACAGCAGATGCTACTATGCAGGCTGCGCAGCAGCATCCCCACTTCCCTACCGATTATCTCTTCCCTCTCATTTTTCTTTAACTTTCAGTATGGTTGCAGAAGACACACACACATCTATGTACGTACATGGATGTGTGGTCTTTCTACTTGGTTTGGTTGGGGGACAGCCATGGCTACGTTCATGACAAAAAAAGGAAAAAATAATAATCTATAACATCTATAAAAAGAATGTAAGAATGATGTAACGGTGTAACACTAGTTTCTTCTTTGTTTGCAATGGTGTAATACTGGTTTCTTCTTTGTTTGCAAAACAGATTTGGACTGGCTACGTGGCCTTCAGATTAGCCACACACACGAGAGTAGAAACAAACAAATTCCATCATTCATTTGTACAAATGCCGACTTCCTTTCGGTTGCTGCTTCATTTCCAATACGATTCCTCGTAGAAATTCTCCAAAACGGTGGTCTTCGATTTGCCTATTTCCCAAAGTGTTGCCCACGTGGAATGCAGATTAGTGACACCGACAATGAAGAAGACAACAAATTTTACCGCTTCAAATATGGGGTTTACAAGATATATATGTATATATCTTGTGGGTGGATTTTCGGTCATCCTCTTCTGCCCATCACTGTTGGTGTTCTTGCTGCCATAACGCTGTGAAAATTGGGCATCCAAAGCTGTGGTCCTGCCGTTGCAAATTCTGGTACGTACATCTATAATTTGATGTCTACTATTTACAAGTGTGATGCACAAGATTTAACCACACTATTTTTCAACCTTGGCCACATGTTCAATAGATGCACACCATGTGTTTGTTAATATATCTCAATAAATAAAGAGTTCAGACTTTTTGAATAAAAAATAAGCCCCATCTAATTTTCTAAGTTAAAAATCGAAATCCAAGCAACAGAAATGTATGATATATTAGTTAAAAATATAAAACAAACAAGTAATCTGTGTAGATATTTCATTTTCAGCCCCCCCTCCAAAAAAACAAAAAAATTACTAACTTGTAAAGGAGTGTTCCTTTTGGTAAATTCTTTGGCAAATTGGGATTACTCTCAAATGCGTGGTCATCCAAAGCAGTTTTGGTTCTGGTGTGGAGTTTGATATCTATATGTTTTGGATTTGGATTTGGGTTTGAGTTGTTGTCTTTGGTGTGGAGTTTGGTATCTATTTATTCTGGTTTTTTTTCCCCTTTTCCCATTGTGGGTAGAATTGTAGTGCCTCAAACTTTAAAAAAAAAAAAAACCAGTTGCAAATGATGAACTATGAGCCTACTAAATATAAACTTGAAACAAATAAGCTAGAAACCAAGAATAAGTCAATACACATTTAGGATCCATTGTGAAATAAGCCACAAGTTTGGAATCATAAATAAGGCTACCAGCCCAAAAACAGAGCAATCAAATTAGATTCCTCCATTCATTTCCTTCTCTTTATTTTGTATGACCAATCAATAACTATGTATCATAATTCTTTGGCAAATTGAGGTCATTCTGAAATGAATTTTCATCTAAAGTTGTTTTGGTGTGTAGTCTTATATCTATATGTCTTGAATTTGGATTTGGATCTAGGTTGTTTTCCTTGGTGTGAATTGTTGATTTTTTTTATTTTTTGGGCAGAAGTGTAGTGCCTCAAACTTAAAAGAAATCCAACTTCAAATCATGAATCATGCACCTAAGAGAGAGAGAGAGAGGAGGGAAGGTAGATCGAAGGCGAGGACATGGCGACGCCGCCGGAGGAGCTCACGAGTCTCTACGACTCCATCTTTGACAAGTTCGACTTCGACAGGAGCTGAGCCGTGGACATCGATGAGTTTAGATCGAGATCGAAGGCAAGAGGTCGATCGCGAGCAGAGATCAAAGGCAGATCGAAGGCGAGAGACAGAGATCGAAGGCAGATCGCACCAGGTTTCTCTCTCTCTCTCTCTCTCTCTCTCTCTCTCTCTCTCTCTCCTTTACGATCCCATCTGCCGTATCTGTTTCTAAGGAGCCATATCCCGGCCGTATCCCGCACCCGTACCCGTGTCGTGTCGTGTCGACACGGGTACCTTCGAAATTCCAAAGAGTCCGTGTAACATAGTCAATAACTATGTATCATAATTCTTTGGCAAATTGAGGTCATTCTGAAATGAATTTTCATCTAAAGTTGTTTTGGTGTGTAGTCTTATATCTATATGTCTTGAATTTGGATTTGGATCTAGGTTGTTTTCCTTGGTGTGAATTGTTGATTTTTTTTATTTTTTGGGCAGAAGTGTAGTGCCTCAAACTTAAAAGAAATCCAACTTCAAATCATGAATCATGCGCCTACTAACTCAAAATCAAAAAAGAGAAGAATCCCACGTAATTGATTCCAGGTTATGTGTGAAAGCAATAAAAAGAAGCCAAAATCCAATCCACTCCATTAAACTTGTGACAGCCCCAACATTTACTTCAAAAACAAAGAGAAGAGAAACCAAACATCATTGAAACAATTGAATGGTGAATGAGTGTCAAAAAAAAAAAAACAAGAGAGACGTTTTGGTCATCACCCCAATTTGATCGTTGGATGGAAATGGTTCATGAAGTTTACATCATGTACCTACACCAATGGATATTGATTTTCACAAGCGTCCAATACTAACAGATAAAGGCCTTTTCCATTCCTTTTTCCTCTCACCATATGTGTGAAGCACCATAACCATAACACCTACCATGATGATAAAGTGAAATGCTTATGGACCACAAGCCTAACATGTTCTCATTCGGAAATTTTTTTTAAAAAATATGGGTTTACATGTTCTCAAGGCTAAGGGCAAGATTACTTTTGTTGTACTTGTTTCTTTTATTATTCAATTTGTCTTTGTTGCTGAATTTGCGAGTTTTAAAAATATTGATTCTTTTAGTTTGGAACCTTTGAAATGAAACAATGAAAATCAATTGTAACTATCAATTTTCCATATTATAAACTTATATTCAATCGATATGAAATAATATTATTTGCCAAGATGCAAACAGACCAGTTCAGTATAATATCTTAAATATAATTACATGGATTCTCTTGATTGGATTGGAAAGGTTGGTTCAGGAGTCTTCTTTAATGGCTTTCTTTTCTTCTTTCAACCTTCTTTAGTTCATGAGTCTTCTTTAAGTGTATATGTTTCATTTTCAGCCCCCCCCCCCCCCTTAAAAAAAAAAAAAACTGTAATGTAGTGTTCGTTCTGGTATTTTAATTGAAATGATTTCCAAATTGACAATCCAAAGAGCACAAGTTTAACATAAAAAAAGAAAAAAGAAAAAAAAGAACAACCCAAAAAGCCTAATAAAAATGGTCAAAAGCTTCATATCCTAATTCAATACACATTTAAAGCCCATGAAAAGAAAAATAAAGTGCACATCTTCAAGTTTATATCATTCAGGAACAACAATATTAATTCGATATACCCTGCTAAGCACCTATTCAAATATTCTAAAAGGCTGAATTAAGTGTGTATGTATCATTTTCAACCTAGCCCCCCCCTATAAATACCTCCCCGGGCGCCTCCCTTCCAAAAAAAAAAAAGTCTAAAAGCTTTTTTCGTTCTGGTATTTAAATTGAAATGATTTCCAAAAAGACAATTCAAAGCGCACAAGTTTGGAATCCTAAAAAAGGCAACCAACCCCAAAACAAAGCAATCAAATTGGATTCCCCCATTCATTTCCTTCTCTCTATTTTATATGACCAATCAATAATTCTTTGGCAAATTGGAGTTATTCTGAAATGGATTTTCATCCAAAGTTGTTTTCGTGTGTAGTCTTATATCTATATGTCTTGAATTTGGATTTAGATTTGGGTTGTTTTCCTTGGTGTGAATTTTTGATTTTTTGATTTTTTGATTTTTTGGACAGAAGTGTAGTGCTTCAAACTTAAAAGAAATCCAACTTCAAATCATGAATTATGAGCCTACTAAATATAAACTTGAGGCAGTGCAATTACACAAGTTCAAAGATTAGTAAAGAAAACTAGAAGTATAATGTACATTAATTAATGTAACATGTTCATGATTTAAAAGTCAAAAAATTGCCACCAATGGTTCTCAAAAGATAGAAATATACATGATAGATGAAATGTATATTATTGAGCATATGAAGGAGTTACTTGCTCCATAAATATATATATTATGGAGCATATGAAGGAGTTAATTGGCTCCAGGACTTTTAATAAGTTGGAATGATGAATGAAATCTGTCCAGGCCATTTTTATTCTGCTGTCCTCTAAACAAAACGTGTTCCTGCAAAAATGAAAACATCAACCATGCAAATTGAAAGAAATAGAAAGAAACAAAATCAACCATGCAAATTGATTGTGCATGTAGTTTATGAAAGTCTTGTGGGTAGAACAAACACATGGTGTGCAAATATACATTTCTTTGTGGTTTCTAGTGTGTGCAAATATAGAAATACCGTGGCTGCCTCTATCTATTAATGAAAGTCTAGCTAATAGACAAGTAAGCACAAAAAGGCCCAAAATTGAAATGGGCACAAACTTGTTAAACCAAGAAGACTACTGACATTTTATCAACAGGCGAGGAGAACACAAAACGGATTTCACTAATAAGTCCCCTCCAAAAAATTATAATATTATTATTAATAAATTGAAATGAAGTTCTTAGTAGAAGAGGGGATAAAACAGAGGAAAGGTAAATCCATAGTAGAAAAAGACTATGGTTTCTTCTCTCAAAAATGTATACCATATGTATAAGAATATATTATAATTTTATATTTTCTTAAGTTCTGATTCTCCCCCGCCAAAGATAGAGTCTCCATGGTCACGCGTTCAACTTTTAGAACAATCAATCGAAGGTATGTTTGAGTAAGATGTTGTAGGTATGTTTGTATGCTGTAGGTTTTTGTATGCAGATTGCTGACAGTTCTTGGTTATTGATTCTTTGGTGAGTGAGCACCATAGGAATGCATTAGGGATATTTTTAGTTTTATTTTCTGAATTGTTTTTTGCGAAGGACATATTATATGCATCTTAATTTTTTGTTGTCAGATTAAAGGGAGACCCAAATATAACATCTTACTCAACTTACAACATCTTACTCAATAGCCAAAGATATGGGCATAATTGAAATCTGGTACATTCAGAAAAACAAAAATGTATCTATATTTCTTTTTAGATAGAAATATGCTTATGATTTTTTATTTTTTTTTTCTAATATAAATGCAAAAATATATTTACATTTGATATGACATATACTTATGTTCGGATTTTTATCAATTTCAAAAGAAATTCGCAAAGAGAAAAACAAAACATAGACAAATTAAATATAAGGTCTAATTACATTTCACTTCTCAAATTCATAAACCAAACACAATTTGAAAAATATTTGTACTTAAACTGTAGAACGACCCCCACGGGCAACCTGCCTTGGGGGCCAACTAGTAATAAGAAAAAGAAATCGAGAGAGGGAAAGAACATAAATTGCTGGTGATGTAGCCAAAGAAATAATGAGTGGATTGTTTCAATTATTATATCTATATATATATATATATATATTTAAGAGTATATGTATGCGGATGCGGCTATGGTTTTAATTTGAAAAAACCTTTTGATTATGATATACAATATGGCTTGAATTTTGTTTTGGGACGATGGACAAGATTTTCTCCAAATTCTATTTGAAAAAAAATAATAATAAATTAATTAATTAATTAATTAAAAAAAAAATCAATGGGTAACTTTGAGAAAATTTCTTTTTGAATTGATTCTTTTAGCTAGAAAAGGTGTTGGCCATGAGGTATCAGGTGAAGAAATAGAAAGGACATGAGAAGGAAAGAAAGTGAAAATTTTAGGTTGCATTTGGTAGAGTTTTAGAATTATGATTTGATAATAGAGTTGTATTTTGAGTTTGTGGAAAAAATGAGAGTAATACAGTTATTTTATAAATATGATTAACAGAGTTAGTCTTTATATTTCACTCCAAATCTCAAGGGAGTTGACTACATATTTCTAAATTAGAAGGAGGTAAATTGTAATTAACCCCCCAAAAAAAATTTTGTGGGCCTTTTACTTATTAATTTGTCAAGCCTAGCTGATAGTCATCAAGTTACTGGAATTTCCAAATGGTGGTGGGTTGTACTTTTCTTGGGCTTTTTGGAAGGCAAAGTCTTTGGCCCAAATTTGGTGGTCTATTTAAGCTGAAGTATTTTAACGTGAATATTTATACACAACCATATTAGCACATTACCTGTGCATAAATAAATAATCAAAAATTAGTTTCTAAATTAAAAAAATAATATAAAATTTATTTAAATTATGTAATAAAAATATTTTATAATTAATTAAATTTTATGTATTTTTATCAGGAATGGAGATGCTGCTGTGCGGGCTGCGCGGCGAAATGGGCCCATTTCAGGATCTATTTTGATAATCTGAACCGTTCACATTTTAGTATACATAAAGTAAAACATGCTTGAAAAAATCAAGTTAATTAGATGTCGTCTGCCTATTCATCCACTCACATTTATATTCATTTTAATACTTTAAATTATAATTTTTATTTACTTTTGTAAATACAAATGTGAGTAGATGAATAGGTAAATGACATCCGATTAATTTGATTTTTTGCAAGCATGTTCTACTTGATGTATTTTAAAATGTGAACGGATCGGGTTATCAAAATGGGCCCCAAAATAGGCCCATTTCGCTGCACATTCCATTTTTGTCAGAGTTACATGTAAGAGAATATTTTTATTATAATGTCATTAATTGTGTGTTCTAAGTTCTCAATAAAAAAAAATGCATGTCATAATTTAATTGGTAAAAATTAAAGGATAAATTACAAAAATTATATTTATAATAAAATATAAATACATTTTGTTTTATAAGTTTCATAATTTCAATTTGCCATATGATAGTAGTAAATTATATTTGTTAATATACTTATTTTTTTCTTATTTTGTAAAGCTTAAAAATTTGTCTATTCAAAATTATAAATTATCGTATATCATAACTCTTACATGAAAGCGAATTAGGATTGATTTGTGGCCTGTGTTCTAGGCATTAGACACCATCTTGTTTGGGTTGATAACATTTATTTATGGCTTTCCATACTTGTGATTACTTTTAATCACCTTTGCAACCTCCTTCCTTTCTTGGCTTTTGTTTTGCTTTGAAAGTGGTTCAAACTAATTGTTTGTTAAGTATGAGATTGAGATATCATACTTAATGATTTAATCTCTTAGGGGTTCATTACCACAAGTTAATCTTAAACAAACATTTAATGAGTCAAACACGAGTCAAACACTAATAGTTTTTTAGTTTTCTGTAATAGAAACCGAAGTTTAGCTTTGACTAAAGAGTATTTCTGATTTATATTCAGAAATGGCAACTGAAATGGATTTGGTTTCAAACCTTTGGGATTTAAAGAAGTCTTTGGGTTTAATCCATTTATTCCCAAAATGGTAGAAAACCAAGTTTTGAGAAAGTCTTTGGCTATAATCTGATTATTTCCAAAGTGTTTTGGTTGCTCTGACCTGTTATCCTCTGCCTTTTCTCATTCATGTACTTATGTGGCGTTACACTGACTCGGAAAATATGAGGAACCCATGACTCCATCATGCCTACAGTCAACTCCATGCCCTTCCCAGTTATAACTTTTATAGAGTGTGGACTTAGGCTTCCACTTGACATCCTTTTCTGAGAAATCCTCCATTACTACAAATTGAACCTCATGCAACTCGCCATCAACTCTTACCGAGTTATCAACGGCATAATAGCTTTAGCCAAAAAAGAAAACGTTAGGGTAACTTTAGCCGACATCCAATACTGCTACACCATGTGTGGCCTCAAGTTAGAAAAATTAACTTGAAATAAAAGTAAATTAGAGAGAATTCTAACTTGTCCGTCAAAGTGCTAATTTCGGCATCCCTGACCAGTGTGTTTATCCCCTTTTCAGGTAGCAATCAGATGATCAAATACGTCTGACTGAATTCTAGAGTATTTCTAAATCACTTCATTGAAGTGACAGTTAAAACAGAGGTCAATGGATCCATGACAAACAGAAGATCACAAAGTAGCCAAACAGAGGCGAATGGTTATTTAAGTCCCCCAAGGCGTGGGACTCCCGTGGTGATACTTACAAAACATAATTATTTATAAAGTCATTACCAAATACTTTCTAAAATTTAAACAAAGCATTCCTATTTATGTTGGCATTTGTCGATATAAAATGAGTAGGAATCCAAATCAGTAGAATCTGCTCAAATCACATCATACAGTCTCTAATATTTCAACTTTGTTATTCCTATCTGTGATAGATATCTATCTTTCTCATCTTTCCCATATGTTTTGCAGCTCGGCGGTTTCTTCATTTGGACTTACGCTTACCAACTAGTATGAAGCTCAGCCTCGAAATTCAAAGCTCTTCAAGCAGCTGAAGAGGTCTCAAAGGTACAAAACAAAGTGCAATGTGAGGTAGATAAATACTAAAGTGTTTAAATTTAGTAAATTTTTTGAAAAATTAATTTTGAATCAAATTGATAAAAATAGACTACTTTGCTAGATATAGAGTCGCAACCTAAATATTTTTGGAAAATTTAAGAAACCCATGACTCGTGTCGAAGGCCACGTGTCCATCATCACCAAAATTATCTCGGCTCGGGAACTTAGGTACGAGATGAGAAGGTTATGAATTGAGTACCCTTGCTTGCTCGACTAAACATTAAAAGTTACCTAGAAGTTACTCTACTCAATATGTATATTAATGCGACCTTCACTTAATCATTAAAAATTATATATATCGATTTGTGATCGGTATGATTTAATTTTTAAGGTTCCAATATTAGATTAAATATTAAAAATGAGTTTAGAAAATTTAGTTCGAATTTTTTTTCCCCCAATGATTATTGGTTTAAGCTATAATACATCATATTTTAATACTTCAATATCATAAAAAAAAATAATCTTTATCAATCAATAATTTCTTTTTACAAATATTAAGAGAATTATATTTGAACAAATTCCAACGTAAAATTTTGGATAAATTACAAATACACCCTTTGAGATTTGCTTAAAATACAAATTGCCCCTATGGTTTGGAAAATTACAAATACCTTCTTGTTAGAATTTTTTATTTAACAGAATTAATTGAAAAAGTAAAATTTCTAACTGTTCACCTATACAATAATAAAATTATCTGAATTATTAATTGAAATAAAATTTTAACGTTATTAAAAACTGTTAATTAACTTGATCATTTATTAATAAAAGAATCTATTTGTTATGAAATTAGAAACTTTTTGAGGCATAATATAATTTTTAGAACCACATAAGGTAATTTGTAATTTAAGTAAATCTCAAGAGATGTGTTTGTAATTTTTCCTAAAATTTTTACTTCAAAATTTTAAGACCAATATATTTTCTTAAATAATGTTAGAGATTTCAAAAATTTTATCAAAATTTTTATCAAATATTTCACAGGAATATAGGAACCACATGGGACCCACTTAATGTGGGTCCCACATCCATGTGAGATATTTGATAGAAATTTTAGTAGAACTTTTGAAATTTCTAACATATTTGTATTTTCTTTGTCTCTATAATTAATTTTGAGATAGTAACTAAAGTAAATTTAAATCATTATTATATAGAGAGCACATGCGTGATAAGAGTTTGTAATACAAAATTTTAAAAAGTAATATTAATTCAAAATTTTAGTACGGAAAATATGTGTCACACTTTATGTTATGTTTGATTCATGGATTTAGATAGAAAAATGGAATGAGAAAAGAAAAAAAAAAATAGGTAAAATGTGAATGAAATATAATAATATTTTACCTAATTTTACACACCTTTTCATTTTTTTTCTTCAAAATTTCTACCCAAAACCATGAATCAAACACATCATCAATGTTTTAAAGGAGTTTTGGATCCTTTATTGTATTGATGTACACTATCTAAAATGTCACGACCCGCTCCCCGTATCCAAGGGTTAAACATCCTGATGGTCGGTAACTGAAGTTACTTCCGGCCAATTCTTGAACAAATTAATAAACGCGAGCGGAAATAAGTGAGGGTACCAAAATAATCATCGGAGTTTCTATTTTTATTACAAAATTTATTGACCAAAAAGGCTAATATTTACATATAAAAATATCATAAAAGTGCTGTGTGTGTGTCTATTCCGCAGCCCCGCGTCTAAAACTTTCCAAAAGCTATTTCTGAATTGCATTGTTTCTTGAAAATTAGTAAACAGCTATAAACACATAGCAGAGTGAGAAATATTATGCCAAGAGTATAAGGGACACAAAATAACCATGAAAAGTTATGTAACTAAAATATTTAAGATAACTTAGTCTGAACAAATAATCATTTAAGTAGCAAAACTGAGATTATGTAAATAAATAACCATAACCACGGTACAAAACAGAACAGATGTATGGACTCAAGAGGTGGCTCGTACGAACTCTAGAGGTGACTCTTACAACAGTGTAGCACTTAGCTCCGTACAGCACTTTGCTCCACACTAGAAATCAGAGGGTCAATGCATCCATGAGAGACAGAGGGTTACAAAGAGATCAAACAGAGACCAATGGTTATTTAAGTCTCCCAAGGCGTGAGACTCCCGTGATGGTACTTACAAAACATAATTATTTATAAGGTCATTGTCAAATATTCTTTAAAATATAAACAAACATATTCATGTGTTTCATTTTAATAAATAGAGTTTAGAAATTAATCTACGTAATTGAAATATTAATATAATTTATAATAATTTATAAAATATAATTTGTATAAAATAAATATGGTAAGTCAAAATATACGTAAAATATATTATGGTAACTCAAGATATAATATAACTCACTTTAAAATTAATATCTCATTATTTCTTTCCACTTTCAGTGATTTTCTTAACTTCCAAACATAACTTGTATTAATATAACTAATAAAATATAATTTGTATAAAATTATGATAAGTTAAAATATACGTAAAATATATTATGATAATTCAAGGTATAATATAACTCACCTTAATATTGACATTTAGCCTTACTCCACTATCTCAACCTACCTACTATAAGTTTCTTACTTTCAGTACTTACGTGTCTCTGCCTCGTTTTTTTTCCTTTTTTCTTACTTTCTTTTCTACAGATTGATCCATTCCTGCCTATTTATAGGGAGGTAAGACCACTAGCAACCCAACACATGGCCGGTTCCGAATCATCCCACAGATTGTTTCATAACTCCCCTGATTTGCTCATAGATTTATAGTTATCTTAATAAACATTTAAGATAATTGCACTTTGACCGAGTTTTCTAGCATAACTATATAAATAAATTAATCCTTATTAAATTATATTTTATCGTATACTAACAGAAAATTAATTATTTATTTTACTACTACACCTATTATTATTATTATTATTATTATTATTATTATTATTTATTTACTCTTATTTTTATATTTAATTTTAATTTGGCTTAACTAGTATTATAATTCCATATTTCTGTTAATTTGGCCCCAAATAATAATTCCTAATTAATCACATATTTGATAATCCAATGTCAAATTAGATTCTATATTTATTATTATTTATTTAATAATATATCATCACATATAACTATAATACTAATATAAAATTTAAGGGACAACTTATATTTTCGGGTTGTTACATAAAAAAATTATATATAATATTTGGTGGGAAAAGTAAATTTTTAAAATGAATAACCAATCACATTATAAGGGAATAAAAGCTAGCCAATAAAAGATTTTATTAAATATTTTAAAAAATAAACATTAAGAGAAATAAACTATGAAAGATGTAAATTGATTCATATATTTTAGTGGTACAAAAATCTAAATTTTAAAACTGATCATTTTCAAATTTCTAAATTTAAATTTTTAAATAGACTAATTAAATTTATTTTTAAATGTGTAAATTAAGGCATAATAATTTTTTTTAAATGATTCAATAAAATTTATAAGATTTTTTTTTAAAAAAAAAATTAAAATTAGTTAACTTTCCTTTTCAAATTTATAAATAGATTAGTTAACTTTCATTTTGAATTGTGTAAATCAAGCTATAATAAGATTTTTTTTAAATGATTCAACAAGAGCTAGAATATATATATATATATATATATTTTAAATTTTTAAACTGTTTAGTTAGCTTTCATTTTGAAATTTCTAAATTTAAATTTATAAATAAATTAATTCATTTTCTTTTTAAAATGTGTAAATCAAGATATAATAAGATTTTTTTTAAAATAATTCAATAAAATTTAATCAGTAGAAGATTTTTTTTAATTATTTAAAACATAAAAATTCTAAAAAAACTAGTTTTGAGTTTCACAACTCTTATTAATTTTCTTAATACATAGTATAGATTAGAATTACATAAAACAATCAAAGGTGTATCTTTAAGGTCATTTAAGTTTTAGCGAAATGCTTATGTTCTCCTCATTCACATATTACTTGCACCCCTGTGAAGACCTCTTATTTAAGTTTTAAATCTTTCATTTATAAATGTTAAATTATTGCCATGCATTTAGGTAGCACAACAATGAACAAAACTTTTACTGATTGGTATAATCAAAGCAATTAGCATGAATCTAAAACTGAGACACACCAATCTCTCTCTCCATCTCTACATTCCTCGCATGATCATATCTTCTTAGCTGAAAATGGAGGGATGCTCTGCTCATTTCTGAAGAAATTCTGTGGATCAACCATGGTCTTCACTGTTAATGTACACTAAACCTAACCTACTAACCTAACCCACTACATCCACCCCACTAAACCTAACACACTTACCATCTCCACTACCACCCACCACCTCCACTACCATCCACTACCACCACTCACTTACCTCACACCTCTCCTATATAATGTCACTCTAATTTGTAATACAACACATCAATAACAATCTACATCAATCAATAATAATACATCAGTTATTTTACATTCACTTTCACCAACCTATCAAAATTACCCTTAAAATACTTCTCCCCAAACACCTTACCTTCACTGTAACTATTCTTCTCATTGTGCGATTCCAATATCAACATCTCTGTAGCACAGAATTGATTCTCTAGGGAACTTTGACACAAATGGAGTCATGAAACTGTATAGCTCTCTAACTTGATTCAAATTTTTGTTCTCCGCCGCAACACCTTCCTCATCCCAATTCAATGAGTACTGGATTTTGAATATGTTCCCCGCCCGGTGAGGGAACGGTGTCGCGGCCGCCGGGATTTCACCCATTCTCCCTCCATATGGGTTGAACACAAATCCAGTTTTTCCCAATTCCATCATCTTGTTCCAAATCGATTACAACCCGACTTTGGAAATCGGAGTTTGGAGATAATCTGATTTTCTTTTCGAAAATTTAGCCGCATAGTTTCTATCTAGCAACACATTTGTGGAGTGGTTTGGGTCGAAATTTGCCCAGTAAAGCACAGATTGAATCCAACTCATTTCCATACAATCCTGTTTTTGCAAACCCAATTCAGGAAAGTCTTTATTCATCACTGTCATGAGTCTATTCGAATCACCAAGAAACAATGAAATGAACGATGTTCTAATTGTTTTCTTGCCGGTTTGTTTGTTAACAGTTGGTTGTATAAGAAGCCTAACAAATAAATCATTATCAGTCTTGTTCGCCATGAATTGCCATCGATAAACAATGTCTGTCGCATTCTGTTCCAATGTCTTCTGAACCCGAAAAACCGTTACAGTTTCGCGTACCAGAACAAGCCTAATTTTATACGACAGCACCACCCCAAAGCTAGCTGCGCTGCCACCAGCCACCGCCCAAAACAAGTCTTCACCCATTGCTTTCCGATCCAAAACCCGGCCATTAACATTGACAATTCGAGCATCGAGCACGTTATCAACCGATAACCCGTACTTTCGCAAGCCGCCGCAGCCGAGGTGGCCGCCGACGGCGACAGCGGAGCAAGCTCCGGCGGGGAAACCGTGGGTTTTTCTGATGGATGCGATTTTGAAGTAGAGTTCGCCGAGGATGGCTCTGGATTGGACCCAGGCGGTGTTGGTGGTGGTGTCAAGAGAGATGGAGCGGAGGTACATTGTGTCAAGGATGACGAAGGGG